TTGCCATTATGCAACAAAACAGCTTTAAGTCACTTCGATGAATCAATGAACAGTCTCCACTCATCTGGACTGTGAGCAATGCTGAAGACTGCCATCACACCATTGATGTTGTTGCAGGCTAAAATTGTTCCGCCAAGAAAACAAGTACTGTCCAAACCCAGTTATAGATTTATTCATAGAGCCAATCAAAGATGCAATTTAGTCATTTCTGGAATAATTTGAGATCCCTTCCTTTTATAACCCACTTATCCTCCACCATTTCCAAGTCAAAGGTTGGACGTACTGACCCAATAGTGTATCTTGAAAGCTAGAGCCAATCAACGATTTGAAGCATTGTTTTCATTCTCAGTGACCCAGAATTAGTAGGTTGACTACATTTGTTTTGGAAGCATTTTGGCTATAGGCCAGTGTTATGGGACATTAAGTCCAAGACAGTTGAAAGGCACCAAGCTGAAAGTACTGTAGCTGCCTTCAAGCCAGTTTTCATATTCACATGGGCCAGAAACTTGCTTGTTTGCAAGTAAGTGAATATCTGTGCTCCATATCCCAGTATGTGTTTTACCTGCACCGTACTGGACGCACAGTCCTTAGTGTTAAGGGACTCCTAAAAAACCCCTAAGGCAAACTGACATAACCATGAATATATGCTGGGTGCAGTAGGCCCCCCTCAGGCTGCAATCCCATGCATGAGGACTAAGCACCCCATGGGCTCACAGGGAGCCTCCTCTCGCAGTGGGGATTTGTATGCCCCCCATGGGGCCCTCCCAACACAATGTCCTTCTGCCACCAAAGCCCTGCTCTCCTGCTGAGCGGGAAAGCAGGAGGAGATCTGCTGTCGTCAGTGCTTTCATAGCATTCTGTGCCTGCCAGATGACCATCTTTCAGCCTCTTGCACAAGAAGGATCTTGGCACTGCCGCCACCAGCAGCAACTTAAGCAGCAGGATGTTATGCATGGCCCTCAAAAGGTCTGAACCCCAAAAGGTGCCCCCCTGCTATACACACTGAGCTGCCAGTAGCTCCCATTGAAATAAATAAGAGCTGCCTCCTCAGTCAGGCATGGCTAAGATTCACTCTCAGTGTCCCAATAATCTGTGTCCCAGCTGTGCAGCCAGGGGCTCTGTCCTCCAGAATTCCCAAGGATGCCAAAGGAGGCATCCTGAGACACTCTATGAATGAACTTACCTGCGCAAAGTTGTCCGTTGTGCCTTTCGCAGCCTTGGTTGTCGCACTTGCAAAGGGGGCTGTTGCACTGGCATTTCCCACACACGCACTGGCCCTGGCCCCTGCACCCCAGGCCTGCCTCGTTTACGTCTTGGCACGTGGCCTCTGGATCAAGCAGTTCTTCTTGCTTGCACTGACAGAGCTGACCAACATATCCCTCCTGACAGCTAGAGAGGGTGCAGAGAGTGGGGAGGGGAGGTCAAAGAAAGCGGCTGAGTCATTGGGTGGGGGCCGACAACATATCATGAGAACCAGCTCTCCACGTCTTCCTGAGGATACACCAGGCCTTTACCCCAGAATTAGGGAACATGTGGTTGCCCTCCAGGCGTTATTTCCATCCACCACAGTTGCCATCCATCTTAGCTGCATGTTTCCCATCTCATTTTAGGGCCTAGTTTGTTCCTCAACAAGCATAGTTGACTTGTTTTACCCTGAAGGGTAGACAGTGAAAAGGACTGGAGCATTTTCCTCATAAAAATGCTAATATATTTGGGCCTTGGCAGGCAGGCTGGGGGGAGGTAGGCCTCATAAGCCCCTTCCAACTTCACTATTCTATGATTCTAGGAAAGAAGGAAGGAAAGATTAAGTAATTTGGATGAGAAGGTGAACCAAAACGGGACAGAGGTTTGAGAGAGCACTGAAGACTGGCAATTATTTTCTTTCAAATAATACAGGTCAAGGTCAAGTAAATCTAAAATCAATTAACAGTGGATCTGTATGATGTGGCGGCACAAATGTTTCCTCATGTAACAACTAACATAGCATGAGATGTGGTGTCAATTGCTAGGTTTAGATGTCTTTTCAAAATAAATTTGTGGAAAAGGTATCTCCTCAGAATAGTCCACTATGATGTTCTCTTTCAGCGGCCTGTTGTTAGAGAGAGGAGCAAAACCACCTGAGATTTCCCTATGGTTGCCTTCCTCAAGTGGGTCCTGTTCATATATTTGGGAACTACAAATTCTCTTGTTCCTTGCTCGTGTGGGATTTCTAGCCAGCTTGTGGCACTTTGAGGAAGGCTGCCCTTTGAAATGCCCTCCCCCAAAAGAAACTGGCCTTTGCTGTCTTGCTTCTCCCCTTTCTCTGGAAAGGCAATTGAATCTCTTCCCGGAGGCACAGTTAGAGGCTGCTATTGAAACTTTTTTTAAAAAATCAGTTTTGATGATATTATTCATACCTCCTGCATGTGCTGTTTCTAATTTTGCTATAGAGCTCTTATCCACCATGGAGGGGTTTGTTCAAATGATGCAGACAGACAATTTAAAAATAAATGCATTGTGATCAGTCAATACCGGCAGACTCCACAGGTGAGATTTCCATGGCCACCCGAACAGTGATCTGCGTAGGTTTGGGTATCTCCACATTGGCACTCACAAACCGTTGTCAGCTCTACCTGCAGCTCCTCGGCCACCCCTGGGACTCGGAATATCAGCTTCCGGGGTTCAGGTAGACACATGCTGGCTTTTATCCTCACCGTGAATTCCACCTAAGGAATGGGAGCGAATGACTTGAGAGGGATCTCATGCCTGCCCAGCTATATTGCTCCGAGTCAAAGAAGGGGATTGCCCCCCCCATGTCCCTAATGCAGGTCTGCAGGCCACCCCCCACCTGTCCTGTGGAGGGCTGCAGGCAAGCCGCTCTTCATCTGTGAGTCTATTTCCTTCTGCCAAGGGCTGCCCCAAGGACCAGCCTGATGGGAACCTGACTATCTCTGATCATTGATCAGAAACAGCAGGACTTTCCTATTCACTTTTTTTTCGCCCCACAAAGGGAAGGGGGAAGAGGACCAATGCTGACTACTCTCAAATACTGTTTTCAAGGGCTCACTGAGAGCCTTTCATCAGCCCCTCATTCTCCATATAAGGAAGGGAAGAAGAAACAAAGCTGGGCCCTGGACAAAGCACAGAGTGGAAGATCTTCACCCACGGATGCACCAGGTGATCTGACAACACCCGTCGGCACAGGGACCCCCCATGGTATTATATCAGCTGGGAGAGGCCCGTTTCCACGCACAAACACAAAAGCAGTTCCCCACCTCTGTTCTAAGTCATACCAGGTAGGCCAGCACCTACTTCCTCTTCTTTACTCACCAGCTGGTTGACACGGACACCAACGCATTCTCCACCGTTTCTGTTTCCGCCTGTTTCCAAGTCACCGCAATGTGAGTCGTAATCAATGGAGATCCCAGGGGGCAGGTCTGAAGAATGCTCCAGATTCACTGTAGAGGAAAGGCTCTGTGAAGAGACCAACCAGAAGGAGACACGCCTGGCTTGAAAGCGAGCACCTGAATCTCCGGCTCTTGAGACAAACTTTGTACCAGTGGAGTGCTGTCGTTACCAGCGTGGGCTATGAGCCTGGCAAGGGCGAGAGAGGGGCAGAACCTATGATTCAAGCCTCGACCCGGGCATCTCACCAAGAGCTGGCTTACAGCCAACCACTGTTTCTCAGCCTCAGAGAAGAAGAATATCGCACAGATCTGCCTCCGAAAGAGCACTGAAATAACCCACGTGAAACTTCATGACCTGGAAACAACACTGAATAAAGATGTTTGAAGTCACACATGTGAAACTTGCTGAACCTTTACAGACGAAACTTGATTTTCAAAGAGTCTTATTACCACTGTTTTTATTACTACTCCCAACAGTTACTACTTATCTGAGGGGCTGGCAGAGGCACAGCGGAGAGCTCTGCCCTTCCGCCAGGGTCCCACGATATTTCCAGATTTCCAGGGGCAGAAGGAGGAGGGACTTCCCTCCTGGGGCAGCTGACTGGCCGGGTATGGAAGAGGGGCAAAGCTACACCTGCCCACCTACTAGGCCTTGCCTTCTCCCCACGGCTCACCGGGGGGCAGCCATCTCACCACCTCTCTCAGGATCAGCAACACTTCTTTCTGTCAAGGGCTGCATTTCCTCAGGGGGGAGGGGCAATTGGTCAGACCATGTGTCAGCAGGGGACTAGGTTGAAGTCAGAAATGCATAGGTCCAGATCTCAAACTACATGAGCCCACTTCTTGCCTCTCCTAGTGTTCCACCACCACCTTCTCTCTCTCTCTCTCTCTCTGCCTTTTCCAACTCTTCTCTCCTTTCTCTCTCCCACTTTCTCTCCTACTGGATAGGACCCTCAACTGAGTCTGTGCAGAGGGCTCACTTTTAGGCCCTTTCCTGACCCCTCCCACCTCTGGATCAGTGGGTGCCACAAGCAGAAGGAGGGAGGAATCAGCCGCCACGCGTCACGCCTGAACAGTCTGCAGCACAGAAATGCTCACATCTGTTCATTCATAATGTGTTCTTCATCAGAGGAGTTCACAGAGATCAACAGCTGCGGGCAGTTCATGGTGCCCACTTCCCTCCAAGCAATATACTGTAAATCCATCCTGTAACCTCAGACCGGTCCCTTGAGAAATGCTCAAGCAAGGACACCCTCACTCCCTGCACCCTCACACAGACAAACGCAGATCACATATGCCCGGCTCTTCAAGGTAGGTATCACTTTGATAAGGACCATCAAATAGATCCAGGTTGGAAAGATGCCAAAGGGAAGGTTTTAAGAAAGGCTCAGATCCACCAACCTGATGGTGAGGCAATGCCCTTTTGGCTGCAGCTACAGATGGGACGCATTTTCCATACAGGGACGAAAAGAATCGCCCAAATGAGAGACTTGGGGTTTTGCTACAGAAGGCTAAAATGATGATTCCACTGGATGTTTTCACACTGAAACATCGTACCGTATGGGTAAAGGTGAGGGATGGGGGGAGTTCTCTCCAAACACATCTGGAGGGGCACAAGCTCTAGAACAGAGCTGAGGCATAGCAGCCTGCATGCCCACGGCTCATCTGGTCCTGCCTCTGTGCTGTGGTGCTCTGGCGACCGCCCACCCACCCCCCGTCCCCTCCTGCCCTTCCACCTGCACCCGAAGGGATGTGCCCTTCCTGCTCCCTTCCCTTCTGCTCACACTGTAAGCTTCTGCAATGAGCTGCACCACATTGCTGGAATCCTCCTTCAGCTCCCCCACCACGGACTTGGGGATGAGTTTGCTCAGCTCCTGGACAGGAAAGCAAAAGGAGGAGGAGGGAAAAGGTCAAGGACGCGGCCCATGCACCCCACCTCAGGCATCCCTCTACTCCCCTGGCTCCCCGATCAGCACTCAGCACTCACCTCGTACATGGGAAGCACAATGCCGGTTACAGCGAATATGGGCTGGATGTTGGATTGAGAGAGCACCTCTGCCAAGTGCCCAACTGAAGGATAGTCCTGTTTGGGGGGGGGGAGAAACAGACAGAGAGCATTGGAAGAGCACTGAGACTCAATTCTCCCTCCCTTGCTTAATACATTGTCCTCCTTCCTCCTCTCAGAGATGAGAGATTGAATGTAGAAGCCGTGGCTCTCTGGCCTTCAATCAGAAAACTCCAACCTCTGCCAAAATCAAGCAAAGAACCGTTTCTAGTGTGGCACAAATTAAACACAAAGGTAGCTAATTTACGTATATTTTTGTACCACACCCATAGTTGTCCAGGCATAGGATTTCATCCCTACTTGCACTTAAAAGGCTAAAGATAAAACCACAGTGCAGTGGAGGACAACTGCTTTGCACGGAGAAGGACCCCGAGTTCAGTTCCCAGCAAATGCAGTTCCAAGGACCCTTAAGGTTTGGATTGGTGGGAAGGTCCCTGTGGCATCCGCCCAGGTCATGAATATTCATATGCTATGTGCATAAACCAATGGGAGTGCTGGAGGGGTGGAGTCATGAGATATAAGAGACTCAGCAGGAGGAGGAGGAGGAGGAGGAGAGGGACTTTGAGAGTTTAGAGAGAGCTGAAGAGTTTTTGGAGTTTGGGCAGGAGAGTGGTGCTTGAGAGTGGAAGAAGGAGGATGTTTAAGAGTTAACAACACTGCTTGCTCTGTCAACATTTGTAACAATAGAAAAGAGTGCATGCAATGTTGGAACAAATATTGTTCTGTAAAGTGCCATTAACCCCAGAACTGTTTTATTGAGTATGATACCTGAAACTATAGATAAGTCAAAGAATTATATAGTTATATACATAGTTACGGCAGCTAGAATTTTATATGCTAAAAATTGGAAAAGATCAACGGTACCGAAACAAGAAGATCTTATTGAAAAGATACGGGAAATAGCCAAAATGGACATTTTAATCAGAAGTCATGAAGGACTATCCCTTGCAAAAGGCAACAGAAAGATGGGATCTATTTAACAAGTGGACAGAATCAACAGGCAGCTTGTGAACAGTACATATTGAAAGGAGAACTGAATCTAGAAGGCAGAAAAGAGTAAACAGAATAATTTAAAATCTTGATATGGCAATAGGTACAGAATGGATGAAAGTATGTTATTGTCTCCCCTCTTCCTCATCAATCCCAATTCCCTTTTCCTTTCTGTTATCCCTTATAAAAAATAAAAAGTACAAAAAAAAAACATTTGTAACAATAAACAATTTCTATTTGGTTCTTTTAAAATGACATATGGTCTGGACATCTATCATTAATTATAGATAATGTTGATGTAATCAACCGGTGGCAGTTGAAAGACACATAGCGTGAGCTCTTAGTTTGGTGAAACAATCAGGGGTCTCGTGGAATCGTGACAGTCCCCAACTGAGATCCTTGAAAAGTAAGTGATCCAGGACTTTACAAGGCAGTTCTTCATATTCATTTAAAAGGCAGCTTCTCACATCTGTATGAATACACCCTTCTCTTCTCACCCTCTCTGCTGAAATAATTGTGCACAAACGTGGACTAAACAGCATGAGGCATTTGCAAAATGATTCCCTGATGTAATGCCTTCACGTCACATAGTTTATTCCTCACTTCTGCCCAGATTTTTATATCCACAGGCAAAATTCGAAGGCCTCAAGAAGTGGGCTGTGTCTGTATGTTGACCTGAAAGGGTGAGTTTTCCAAAAGTTGCCATGAGGACTGAGGGTGTGGAGTGGCTGTTGACCACTGACCTGACTATGAGGGGGAGTCAGAATAGGGGTGAGGGAGAATGGAAGAGAGTGGACTGAAGAGGAGCACTTCATGCTGCATACATTTTAGGGTGGTTCATGGGAAATGGACCTTTCTCCATGCTGAAAGAGACGAGGGAGGGTGCCCTGCAGGCCTATGCAGTCCAGCCTCTGCTGTCATGACAGGCCATGTTGCATTCTGCCTCCTGTAGTGGAAATACTATCCTGACCATCCACCTGATAAGACATCACAAGAAAAAGCTCTTCACGGGCACTTACACACAGGGAGCTCTTCTGAGTGAGGAAGGTTCCCTAACTGGACCCTTCTGGCCCAGATCCATCCCACTCCCTGCAGGCAGAAACTCTGTGCCCACCCATCCCAGGAACCCTTTCCCACAACACCCGAGTCCTCTTTGTGGGTGACTGGGGAGCAAACCCAAATCAACCTGCCCTTTGCAGTTTCTTTCAAACCAAAGAGAAACCTCCTTCTGTTGACTCCCGGTTTCAGTTCAGTCTCTGTGGAAAGATTTCAGTTTTGTTGGAGAGACACCAGAAAGCCATGTGGGTCCTGTATGCTCCAGCCGTCCATGTTCCCAGCCCTGGGGAGGAATTTTCCTGTTCTTTCCTCACCCAAAGTATTTTCCAATCCCAGAGGGCCAAGAGAGACTTACATAGAGGTGGCTCTTCGTGTATCGTCCCTGGGCATCCAGGTGGCATTGCCCGTCATTGGGCATGTAGATCCCACCCAGCTTCCCGTCCCCTGCTGTGTGGAAGGCACCATCCGAAGTGAAGACCAACAGCCGCGTCACATTACGCCAACCAATCTGCTCCTGGGAGGAAAAGAGGGAGTTTCTTGACAAGATGGGTGACACAGCGACTTCCCGTACTCCACCATTTGGTTTGCTGGCGGCTGCATCTGTGCATAAACACAGCACAACAGCATAGCTTGTCCAGGACAGATTCAGACAAGAGCTGAGATCCTGTTGCTTTGTTGGACAAAAGGCACACAATTCAACTTTAACAAGTAACTGCTGGGATTTAGGGAAGGGAAGGTCATGCGTACGCTGGCTTGATGCAAACTTAAGAAGCTCATCAGGGACTTGTTAACACCTAGCCAGGAATGACTCCATTTTACACCTTTTGGATAATAAAGCAACAGGATTTTAGCAAGTTTGCTAACAGAGAAGGAAGGAAATGGCACATTTCCATGGTCTGCCACATTTACAGATTTCAACAACTCAGATTTTGCTGCCAACATTTGCCTTTGGAATGTAGCATTTTGATGTCAGGATTTTTTTTTTCAAACCCTCTCATCTGGGGATTTTTTACTAGTTAAACAAATGAGCAAATTTAACACCAACTTGGCTCTAGACATAGTGGTGCTTAAAGGAGGCTTACTACAATCAATGAGAAGTATGCTTAGCTTGTCCCATTGAGTTCTTTTTTTAATGTAATGGACTGACAAGGTTTAAATTTGGTATGCATAGAGTGTTAAAACAATAAAAAGTTGGGTAACAAAGAATCATCCCTGAAAAAGTTCTTTTAAAATTGAGGCTTGAATATTAGTTGAGCATGGTCATTACAAAACAATTAGCCAGCTCTACAGCCAGTAGGGTCACTGAACAATAATCTGACAGTTATTGTGTTTAGAATATATAAACATAAAGCAACATTTTTGTGCTATAGTGCACTCTTTTGGTAATTATATTTTGAGTTCACGATTAGTGATGGGGGTATTTCTATTCATATACAAATACGAATATCCACACACAACTGGAATTAAGGAGGGTCCGGCCCCTGGGGCTGGACCATCCACTTATGTGTCCACCGGTGCCGGCGGCATCACTCATCCTTCCAGTCACTCCTGGAGCGCCACTCTCTTCTCACTCGGCTGGCCACTTGGCAGCTGTGCAGGGAGACTCGTCCTTCCTCTCTCTGCCTGGAGTGGCTAGCCAAGTGGGAAGGCACATCATTCCAGAAGTGATTCGAAGGATGAGTGATGCCACTGCCACCACCAGATGTCTGCATGGACAGTCCTCCTTAACTCCAGCTATATGGGGATATTTGTATACAAATACAAGGAGCCCCATCTCTATTCATGATAGTCTGGCATTCCAGGATTTTTGTTGTTTGTTGTTTAGTCATTAAGTCATGTCCGACTCTTCATAACCCCATAGACCAGAGCACACCAGGCACACCTCCTGTCTTCCACTGCCTCCCAGAGTTGGATCAAATTCATGTTGGTTGCTTCGATGACACTGTCCAACCATCTCATCCTCTGTCGTCCCCTTCTCTTGCCATCACACTTTCCCAACATCAGGGTCCTTTCCAGGGTGACCATATTCTGGCAATCTAGAATCTTGGTATTATAAGGTCTTGGTTTTACAAGGACCTTATGTGACAGTGTCTTATCTTATTCTTCTAACTCTGCTAAATGTTAATCAAAATAATAACAAAGTGGCAGGTTGTCAATTTACAGATTTCTGGAGTTACAAAGATTGAAGGAACATTACAATTTACTACTGAGAAATGATTCTTGGAGTATCAAGCTTTTTAATCTACAAGCCCTGGGAAAAAAATTATTTACTGATAGGCAGAAGGTGCAAAAACTGAAAGAATTATAAATACAGGGAGACATGACACACACATGTACACATATAGAGGAATTCAGGAATTCATCTCATCATCACAACTCCACGGCACTTCCCTCTGTAGAGGGAAACTGGCACAGGACTGGCTGAGCATCTAGAATTATTTTGTGTGTGTTCTTAGTATGTCTAGAGGCTAATAAAGTTATTTCTTATTCTTATTTTTAACAACTTTGATATTTTAAGAGACGTATTCTCAGCTTTTAAAAATGCCTTTTTAGGCTATACAGGTATTCTTAGAATGTAACTTTGTTCTTTTTTTACTTCTAAAATATATTTAAATGAATTTTGGATTGAAGTATTTCCCTGCATATTTACTACTAAATACTTAATACTGCTTAAGTATTTGCCTGCAATTTAAGTTTAAGAGTTCATTTTCACAGAGCTCATAGTAAAGCAATGAGGTCAGCCACCATGGATGGCCACCAACTTAGATGGATTTAGAAGAGGATGAGAAAAATTCACAGAGGGAAAGATGATCAATGCCTATATACTATTTCTCAGGGATCAAAGGGAATACATATGCCTTGCCAGTTGACAGGACTGGCAAGATACATTTGGGCTTGTGTCCTGCCTAAGGGCCTCCTGGAGGCATCTGTTTGGCCATGGTAGGAGATGATAGGATGCTGAGCTTGGCAAGACTTTGGTCTCATCTACCACAGCTCTTCTTCTTATGATTTCAGGCTTAGATTATGACCCAGGCTAAGAAATCTTAATAATATGGGACAACAGGCATTTGCTGACTAGGCAACTGAACCCAGGGCAAAGCGTAATCATTCATCATCTGTTAATTCTTGTTGACAGGAAATCTATCTCTGTCATGTTTCCACTCAGACAGATCAAAGGGTGAGCCTTTTATGCAAGTGTATCAACTTGGAGCCTGACAGCGATATGAAAACACAATGAGTACAGGTTGGTGTTTGGATGTGTTCGTACTCAAACATCTGCACATGCATGTGCTAGGATGTTTATGCACATGAACTCACAGAACTCTTGACCAAGCCATTGTTAGTGGAGCCTATGCGGACCTCCCGACCTTGTTCCATTGGCATACTCTCACCTTGCAAACGGCTGCCTGCATGATTGCATCGAAACCTCCTTCCGCATCGTCCAAGTTCCCCGAGATGTGTTGCTGGCTGACTCTGCTCTCAAACTCACTGGCATTGTCAGTCAGGGGCAGCACATGATGGTAGCTGAACGGCGACTGGCAGGTCTTCATTAAGGTGGGGCAGGGGTTCTTCCACTTTGAGGCTGCTATACTCACGTAGGGCACCACTGTCTTGTCAACGAACGAGCCAAATCCTGCAACGGCAGACATTCTGTGGCTCAGTTTAGCCCACCCGCACGTTGGCACTTCTCTCCTTTTTCTGCTCTGGACCCCTTACCGTAGCTGCTCCCAGGTATCCCACAAATGCACCAGGCCAGCAAGTAACATATTCTGGATTGGGTGTGGGGTGGTGTCCCACTCAGAGATATTGAGGTCTCTTCTATAAAATTTCTTTTTACACTAAATAATTTCAGTTTAAGCTAAACTAACTGGCACCAATTTACAATTCTCATGTCGCAATTGTAACCTCTGGGTTCCCCAAGGATCAGCCCCAGGAGGGTTGCTGGCTGAGATAAAAGAGAACACGGTACACCTCCCATTCCACATGCAGATGCAACTTTACTTTGATTCTGGCAATGAGTGACTGCCCTCTGCCTCCAATGAGGGCAGCCATTAGTGTAAGAGGTACAAGATCAGCCAAGTGACTCACATAGCTCTGTCCTGTGATAGAAGAGTATTGCCAGGTACTCAACAGACCAGAGAGGGAGTCGCTCCTCCTCTTGTCCCCTTCCCATTATTTGCCACTCCAAGGTTGCTCCATCCTCCACCAAATTTGTAGGGCTAGCTCTTGGTTTACGCTACCCACCCCACCGCAAGGAGTTTTGATTACAGGGATGCATACATACCTATCCTCACGGAAGTAGTAACATCACGCAAGGCAGCCAGCAGGTCGTTTCCCAGTCGCTTAATGTTCTCCAAGTCATCCATCATGGAGTAGGACAGGTCCATGAGATAGTACAGGTCCACAGGATAACCTTCAGCCCGTTTGAAGCGCACCTGGAAACTCTGCTCTTCCTCTGTGGGCACAGAGAAGGCGGACAGGTTGACAGGCAGGCAGAAAGCAAGGAGGGAGGGAGTTTGGAACAGTTCTCCAAATACATGAAAAAGCATGTACTTTTATTTTCAAGGATGCACTGAGGTGAAGTTATCAGAGGTGCATTTATTATTGCCCATCGAGGCTCCTCTGTGATCAATAAGCATGACTGAATATGACTCAGAAGTAGAGATAGGGGTATTCGTATACCCCCATCTCTACGAATACAAATACCCCCACACAGCTGGACTTAATGAGGATCCAGCCCCTTGGGGCCAGACTGCCCACTCACACGTCCGCTGCTCTGCTCTCCCTTCCAATCACTCTGGAGCTCGTGGTCGGCTATCCACTCGTCAGCCTGGCAGGGAGATTCATCTTCCCTCCTTCTGCCAGGATTGAATAGTTGACCGTGAACACCAGAGTGACAGGAAGGGAGAGCAGAGCCGGCGGTAGCAGTGGACGCGTGACTGGACAGTCCGGCCCCAGGGGGCCAGACCCTCATTAAATCCAGCTGTGTGGAGGTATTTGTATTCGTATATAAATCATCATCATCATCATCATCATCATCATGAGTATGAGTAGTAGTAGTAGTAAGTAGTAGTAATAGTAATAGTATTAGTATTAGTAGATAGTAATAGTAATAAACATAATAATAACAAACATAAACAGGCCGGCCCTTCTTGCAGGGCACAAAGTGGGGAATCAAAACATAATAATAATAAACATAAACACTTCTTGCAGGGCACAAAGTGGGGAATCAAACTCGCCACTTCTGGCTCTGCAGCCTGAACGCTAACTCACTGAGCTCCCCAGCCAGCCTTATAATGGAAGCTCACATTTGCCTTGCCATTTAGTGTTACCCTTAAAATATGTAGCAAGTGTGTTTTTTCATTAGCAATAGTGCTTCATCTGGAGCATCCTTGCTAAAAAGCCACCCACCCACCCACCTACCCAAGCCATCGGCCACTTTCTTCCACTAGGGGACCTACCAAGACGAAGGCGAAGAGCTATCCTTTGGGGTGCCAGTTGAGTGATGGTCTTCTCCGGCTGGCTCCTGTTGCTCAGGGGCCTGTCCTCCAGGACATGCTTCTCACTGCGGGGATCAATGATTTCACTGGGGAGGCAGCCACGACGTTCCAACTCCACCCGGGAGGCACAGCGTCCTGTGTCTGACTCACCTGGTTGCACAAAATCCTACAGAGGAATGGAAATGGGGACAGCTTTTTCAGTACAAGGGCTTATATAGATGTAAACAGAAGTCCTCCCAAAAATTGCAGGTAGCAAGTGCCTTCTGCTTCTTCCAGGAGACATTCCATATGAGAGAAGGGGGCGAGCCTCTTCCAAAGATGACACCTTATGTAATGTGCATGTTTCCTAGAAACAAAGAATGCAGTGATGGTTGTGTTTCTCTCCAATGCAGATTTAAACAAACTAAAAGACCTTAAAGTTCACTATAACTTTAACTGATTTCATTAGTTAAAGGACAGTTTTTTCTGACAGTTTCTCCCTGTCTTATTTTCAGGACACCTTTTGGTGGGTTGCTCTGAAATTGCGGCAGATTGAGATGAAAGATAAACAGATATTTCTGTGTCCAAAAACTTCTGTGCTACACACTTAACGTTTTCCCCCTTCTCAGCATCACAAGTTACACCTAGCAGACTAAGTTATTCAAAACAAGAAATGGTACATGACTCTGATTAATATGCAAACCATATTTTTTCCCAACGTTATGTCGTTAATTCTTTTGTAGAAGTAACACATGTATAAACACCCTCGGCAATTTGTGCCTACCCCGGTACCAAAGGACAAAAATCCTTGTTCTTCCCACAGAAGCCAGTGCCCCCTTCCCCACCCCATCTTCCCCTTTCCTTCCCTCCCTGCGACTGTCAGATTGAGAAGGCACGAAATAAAGAAAGACCCATCCGTTGAGTCACAGCGGTTTCCTGTTTCGGTGAACAAAAACCACAAGCCCAGCCATCCTACACCGGAGCCTGCTTGCTTGCCTTCTCAGCCCTGTTGCACCCAGATAATACGTCCCTTCCCATCCTTTCAGGGGGCTCCGAGATCCATGGTTTTCAGTGAGATAAAAAAGAACCGTTTATCAAGACAGGTGTCAGGGCTTGGTGGTACTGGGCCCCCGCAAGGGGCAACTCCCCCTGACCAACTCTCGGAGCCCTCTGGCCCGGCTACTGCCCTTCTCAGCTCTCCTGTCCTCTCCGAGCAGGAAGGAAAGAACATGAGCAAAGAGAGGGGGCTGGAATCCGCACTTATCTGGGCCTCCCTCTCTGGGCTGTTGTGTTTTTTTGATCCAGCAGCAAGAGTGGCCAAGGTGCAGCAACAGTGGTGAGGAGGCAGGAGGCCACAGATTAGCAGGTGTGACACCTCTCTCGTTGACTATGCCTCCAGTATAAGCATGCTAGGTTTGTAACAATAGGCTGCCAAGTTGGAACAGATGTATAGCAAATACCATACTAAAAAACATTAGCAGCACCAAAATACATTCAAAGCAGTAGAGTACAACAATCCATTTAAAAACTCGATTCAGGCAGCCAGTCATTCGGGGAGAGCTTGCATGGAGAGAAGGGTCTTTGTTTGCTTCCGGAAAGGAAGAAAAAGTTGGGGCCAGCCTGGCCTCCTGTGGGAGGGAGTTCCAGAGTCTGGGTGCAGCAACAGAGAAGGCCCGCTTGCAGGTGCCCACCAAACGCACCTGTGAAGGTGGTGGGGCTGAGAGAAGGGGCACTCCTGTTGATCAGGCTCATGAAAGGAGATGTGGTCCTTGGGATAACTTGAGCCCAAGCCATTTAAGGCTTAATAAGTTAGAAACAGAACTTTGAATTGTGCCCGGAAACAGATTGACAGCCAGTGGAGCTGCTCTAACAGGACGGTTATATGTTCCCTGTAACCATCCTAATTAGCAATCTCGCTGTGGTATTTTGGACTCTCTGGAGTTTCTGAACACTTTCCAAAGGCAGACCCATGTAGAGCATGTCACAATAATTCATCCAGGATGTAACTAAGGCATGTATCACCATGTCCAGGCCAGACCTGTCTAGGAACAGGTGCGGCTGGTGCACTAGTTTTAATTGTGCAAATGTTCTCCTGGCCACAGCCGAAACCTGGGCATCCAGGCTCAGAGATGAATCCAGGAGCAACTCTGAGCTGCACATCTGTGTTTCAAAGGAAGTGTAACCCCATCCAGTACAAACTGAATCCCTAAACCTTGATCTGCCTTTCAGCTAAACAGGAACACCTCTGTCTTGTCTGGATTAAATTTCATTTTGTTCACCCTCATGCACTCCATTACTGATAGCAGACACTGATCTAGAAGCAAAACAGCTTCCTCAGATTCTCAGATTTAGATGAAAATTTATTCATTTCTTTATTTATTTTTAATTTAGGAGATACTCCATTATTATTATTATTATTATTATTATT